GCGACACCGGGAGTGTAGTGGTAAGCGTGATTACTCCTCACCCCAAACGGTCTGGGCTCAATCCCAGTCGGCGCCAACGGAATTTTCTGAGGCATAAAATCTATCATCACGACAAGAAGTAAAGCCATTGGTGCCCGGTCCATGAGTCGATGTGTCGATAGGTAGCGTCTAGGTGTTGGTGTTGTCTTCCTGACGTCGGCTGCATTGGTACTCAGTACGGAAAACAAGAACAACGGAAAACAAATCAAGAAAAAAAAAAAAAACTATGACAGACAAGTGGCTTTCAGCTGCAACTTATTTAAGTTAATTTAAATTCATGAGCCTGTGCTCAATTACAAATCTATACGGTAGTAAACGCTGCATTTGAATAAATGGAATTTCATATAAAACTCACAATAGAATGGAGCAAACCCCATATAATACCATACCTGAATGAAAAATAATTTGTAAGCACATTTCTCTTTCCAAATCCATTAAAATGTAACCGACTGTTACAAATTGTTAGTATTTTTTTTAAAATCATGCTTCTATTTTGTGTACAGTCACGTCTCTAGAGTTAAGTGGTGTTGGATTAAAATTAGAGTTAGTAGGAGGGTTAGTAAATGTTAGTAAAAATGTACCTATTGTCTATTAAAAATGTTATAGGTTAGTTGAATTTGAATTTTCTACAAAACAAGTGGGGTGAATCGCTTGCAAGCCAGTGGGTACAACAACTAAATGATAGGAGAGTAGACCAGCAGGCGAAGTGGGCTTACATCTACAAATGTGGCGATAACACCCCCTCCTCCTCCTCCTCCTCCTCCTCCTCCCTCCAAACTAACAGGCAGCAAAAAAGAAGTTACAACGGGGTTCAAGAGAATAAGGAGGAGTGCCATTGCCCAGCTAAAAAGGGAGAGGACGGCGGATTCGTCAGGTACGCTAATGACCTATCCTACACAGCTAAAAAAAAGTAGTGTAAATTTCCGTTACTATGATGCACATAAATGGAGCGTCATATATCATACAAGTTTAGATTATAGATCGTGTAAATTTATGAGACATGTTATGCAGTATTCCATATATTGTATGCAACTGTCCACTTTTGTTTGCAACATTTCTTGCAAGCTGCTAGTTTACGTGAAAAGGAAGTTTTCATGTATCAATGTTTGCATGCATAGATGTTTACATCGCCAGTAAAATTCAGAATTTTTTGGTGTGTACGCTTAAACTCTAACTAAATCTAGCTTAGGGATCGTCCATTGATTATGTCACACGTTTAGGAGGGAGGAGGGGTTTTGAAAACTGTGACGAGCTATAAAAAAATTAAAGGTCCATACAAAATGAAAATGGGCTAAATTTATTGATCTTCCTTTATTACTAATGACTAGAAGATTAGCACGGCTTCTTTAATACCTCAGAAGCTCGACCAGGTGTACATGATTCGGCGTAGTAGACCTCGGTTTGGTTAAGGTGATTCGCTGTGACATCCTTATTCCCGTAACCACACACTTAGAAAAATTGATGTAAATTTAGGTGCTCTGAGACTGACATATACGAGCGTCAATTTTGACATAAAATTGAGTCATAATAGACGCGAAATCAGCTCAATCAAACGTACTTTCGAACTTTTCAGTCTCGGAGCACTTAATTTTACATGACATGTTTGTTTACGTCTCATCCTTTACGTCAAAGATGGATTCCGTCACGTGTAAGATTAGGTATTTCTAAGTGTGCACTTCAAAACTTTAAGTGCACAAATATCAGCTTCTACGATACGTGCAACATTTAAATTGTTACTCCACGTTTGCTGCACTGCAGGATACATGAAGTACCAATTTCAAATCAAATGGAGCACTCATATCCGAGATTTGTGTAATTGAAAATTTAAAGTGGAAGTGTATGTATCACCTCCGTGGCGGCCATTTGTGGACTCAACAAGGAATCACCTTAAGGAGGTTTTCAAGCTCGGGGTTGAAACCCCTAACCGTTTAGGAGCATTCCCCTCTTGACACGGTCACTCCGATATGGTCATGGGCTGTGCTAATCTCCGTCAACGAGGGAGGACGCTTGGAAGGCTAACACAGCTACACACGATCGATTAACCACACCAAACCATCATGCGGATAAATGACCATTCGCCACCATTTTGGGAACCATCAGCCACTATTCGGAACTATTGGGAACCATCAGAACAATAAACTGCAGTAGATTAACCCAATCCCACCAATTAGTTAAATAAAAACCCAATTCACACTACACAATATCTCTAGTCAGGTGACCGTACACTTTACCGTATGCGTGATATGTTTGCACCATGGTACAAATAAGGTTCCCGTTTCACCTGTGCATACAATGCCTTGGTTTTCTTTGCATGCACGTTACCTATAGCTCATACCGTAGTAGGCTGTGTTTAAAAGAAATTTTTTTACTTAGTTTGACAGTTGCACCATGACGAAGTGACAGCGTATTCTTTTTGCGACATTTCAATCGCCGTGGGACTGTCCTGGTGGACCGTCAAAAGGGTTTTAGACCGAGAAAAGAAAGGACAACTATCCGCGAAGGTGGCCACAGGTCGTCCGAGGTCAGCTGGGGTTCCGAGGGTTATCGCTGCTTTCAAAAGGAAAATTTGGGTGAATCCAGTACGTTCAATAAGGAAAATGGCAAAGGAACACGGGATCAGTGACTTTACGGCACGGAAGATCGTAAAGGAAGATTGCGGGGTGAAGTCGAGGGCACGGAGAAAAAACTCACATGATTACCCACCGCATCCGGGAGCTACGAGTCGAACAATGCAGGAAATTCTTGAACTTCCTTAAGCGAAAAAATCCGGTTATCCTGTTCACCGACGAGAGCATGTTTACCGTCGATCCTGTATCAAATTCCAGAACGACCGGTATATTAGTTCTCTTTCGGTAAAAGACGTGGCCGACGAGCACAAGAACGTGTATCTGACCAAGCATCCTGCTAGCGTTATGGTGATTGGATTGGTGGCTTCCGATGGCAAAAAATGAACCCGGTGTTCATTCCAGAAGGCGACAAGGTCAACACGGAGGTCTACTTCGGGATTTTATGTAAGTATGTTCTTTCGTGGATCAAAGAACAGTACGGTCCGAAGCCAAATGTTGTATTTCAACAAGATGGGGCTTCGTGCCACACCTCGTACCGCACTCAGAAGTGGTTGCAGGAACATCTTCCGTTCTGGGCGAAGGATATGTGGCCGCCATCCAGCTCCGATCATAATCCGCTGGATTACTCAATATGGCACGTCGAAGGCCAAGGCCTGTTCTAAACGCTACCCGAGTACAGCAAGCCTCAGACAAATATTGACCCATACCTGGAGAGAAATGGATTCAGACTACATTATAAGAACCTGCCGTGCATTCCGGAAGCGTGTGGAGGCCGTAATTGCAGCAAGTGGAAACTCGATCGATGATTAACATAGTTTAAGACTCTGAGAAACATCCCCCCTATGAATAAATAAATAAATAAATAAAAAAACTCGAAAACGAAATTTTTGAGAATTTTTTTAATATTGACATTGCTCATAGGGCAAACATTATCACGCATACGCGGCATACGGTACATCTTGTCCACGATGCTCCTCAAGATTACCAAGTAGTAAGCCGATCCTGAGACCCAGCTCGAAATGGACAAAAGTTGCTTCAAGTTAACTTCACAAAAACAAATAAAAAATAATTCTTTTATGTAGAGGAAATTGATGCAATGTCGGCCAAAATGCTCCTAATTTAGGCCCATACAAAAATTCAGCAATCGACTAAATTTTCAATAGCGACCAAAAATATCCATTAGAACCGTCCCAATGACGCGTTCATCTAGATTAAATTGATAAAATGGAATATTTTTTAGCGATAGATCCATAGGCCAACATTAGGGCCAATTCACTGACTATTATGATATTTGATATTGGTCTTCTTATAAATAGTAGACATTCATATTAATTTTCAATTGTTTTGCCCTAACTTTTCAACAGTTCTGAACGTAATTTTAGGTGAAAAATAAAAAAAAATAGAAATTTGGGTTGTCGTCGAGTGTGACCAAATTCAACTTTTTCGCAACTACAAACTATTAAATGCCGATTTTTTATTCTGAATTATAATTGTAAAAAGCTGAGCAATTATAATTTTGCTTGGTCTCAGTTAAACCATGGCGAGATTCAGCTAATAAACGAGAGTACGCTCTTATAAATTTCTCCATACGAATCAATGAAAGGAACTCACTCTCTGAGTAAGATTCGTTTTCAGTTTAACCTACACACTTAAAAAAATAAAATATGTTAATTTCGGTACTCTGAGAGTGACACGAGCGTCAATTTTGGCATAAATTTGATCATAACAGTCGCGAAATACAGCTCATTTAAACGAGAAATGAACTTTTCAGTCTCGGAGCACTTAATTTTACATGACATGTTTGGTTACGTCTCATCCTTTATGCCAAAGATGAATTCCGTCACGTGTAAAATTAGTTATTTCTAAGGGAGTAGCTAGTTTGCGACGCCAATCTCGGGTATATAATCTAATTGTGTACGGCGCTTAAATTGTGTAAGCTTTTAACCGATTTAACGGAAATCATCATTTACTCTATTTAGAAACAAAAAAGTCAAATTTTTAATTTTTATCGTTTTTAGAACTACCCTATTTGCATCATTCATCAACATAACTTAAGGCCTTTTATAAGAAACAACGTCACAAGAGACACTATGCTGGTAGATTTGAAATTTTCACCCACCAGCACCACCACCACCAAAGTGATCCCGAGCGGAACAACCAGAGATCAACTACCGTTTCGATGTTTGATTGAAGATCTTTCCGTAAGATTAGTGCTGAGTGGTGAAACAGACTCTTGGATGATGAGGAATTTAAGAAGATGAGGGAAAACTCATATGTTTGGACAAAGGACAGGGGTGACCACGTTAATCAATCGACATAGATGTTTGCTGAGTTAGTTGTATATTTTAAATACATATTACAATTTGCCTGTTTGATATCCCTTCATCATTAATTCTACCAAGTTCCTGGAGCTGGAGCCAGATTCAGCGACTTCTGGTTGACGATGTGTCCGGGGAGTGGAGCCTTGTGCACGGCACCACGGTTGGCAGCCACATACGAAGCGGAGTGATACACTGGAGCAGCAAAGGCCACAGCTGGAACTTGATGATGATGATGATGATCCCAGTGGCTATCGTAAGCAGTGACGGCCGCTGGAACGTGATGGGCATATGAGTTGTAGGCAACTACTGCAGCAGGTTGAGCATAGGCGTGATGAGCCCAGCTGTTCAGGTCATTCGACTGAACAACGGTTGGTCCATGATGGGCAGCGTAGGTCACAACTGGAGCAGCAGAGTCATAACCATATCCGTGATGGGCGTAGACCGATGGAACGTAAGATGCTTCAGCGGCAATGGCAAGGGCCATCATGACTACAGCTGCGATGCACTGTATTATAAAAGTATTATCAAAATTGAATAATATAAATTGATGAAAATTATCAAATACAACCTACCTTCATGATTGCTGTTTTGAGGTTTGTATTGGAGCTAGTGAGCAAGTGGAGAGCACTGACTTGATTCTGACTCAGTTTGGGAAAATTGGATCAATATATACTCAAAGCTTCAGCGACTGAAACGTGCAAATCGAACCGAAGTGATAGGATCAAATTAAAATCGTTGGAATTGAAATTGCAATTGTATATTGACTTGGATGGACTAGCCATCGGAAATTTAATACCACAATTGTACTTTCAGATTGCAGGATGTGGTGAAGGCGCTGATCCTCCTACTCGGGTGACTATCATTTTGTGGTCTTCCTTGCTGATGTACCATAATCGGTGATCCATGAAATCAAATTTTTCAGCACTTCGCCTTCAGCGGAAGCATCAATGTGTATAAAATCGATCAATTGTCACCGACATAGATACAGTTTGTACTCAGCTCTTCAATTCATCGCACTAGTGCACTTACTTGTAGACCAAAATGAAATCCTTTATCGCCCTCGTTATCGCGTCACTTACCGTGGCAGCTCAAGGGTCATATCTTCCAACCATCAACACCGCTGCGGTGACCTGGCCCTACTCATCGGCAGGGAACTCGTGGAACGGCTGGAACACCTGGGACAATCAGCACCACCACGGTGACGGTCTGGTGGCCTATCCATACGTGAACGATTGGTCCTCGGCACCAGTTGCATCTGCTTACGGACCATCCGGTCTGTATGGACACAAGACCGTTGTTCAGGAAAATCTCGGCGGCCATGCCTACCCGTGGGGTCTGCCATGGGGAACCTACGGTGCCGGAGGATATGGAGGTCACCACGGATGGGGTAAGAGCGTTGTTCCAGTGTCGAAGATGATTGCTGCCACTCCCGGATCGCTTCACGTTGCCCCGGTGCCAGTTGGTGGGGAGCAGGTTGTTTACTAGATTTATTCATGTTGAAGAAATAAAGAATGTGGTACTGGAATGGAATTCTGCTGTCTAGTAATTTATTTTAAAGATCACTGTCATAGACATAGTTGGAGATCGGTCACCACGGATATGAGTTTCGATGGTCCAACAATAATTAATTTGATTTAAGAGCATTTATGGTGGCTTCAATGGATCATGAAATTATTTGCGAGTTTGTACACAACATTACTGAATTTTGCGAAATAAAATATCGTTTAAAATTAGGCTAAATCCAGAATTAATTACATGTGTGCTAGATATAGCAGAAATTTGCTCGAATTTTTCAAACGGTGAATTATTGATTTGCCTCCCTGGAAAATACATTATGCTCAGTTATCAATATAAGGTCATCATAGTAAATGCAGACAAGCTTTCCTTCTCCAGCTAGCCAATAATGACTCACCATAATTGACGCGGAACACGTCTGTTCCGCTTTCTGCAATAGATCAAAATGCCAATGAGCAAACAGCATGAGTGCCTGCGTCAGCAGCAGTGCAATTGTTACAATTCTGTCAACTCTGCCACCTACGCGCGTACCTACCATGGTGGACCCTGTGAACGTAATGGCAACCAACCCTTATCTAGAACATTCCACCCGCGATCACACGCGATTGCACAATCCCGACATCCGCGTTGGGGACGGCCCAGGCATAGTGGTTAACATCAATACCTTTCACCCCGAAGTCACGAGTTCAAATCTCATACCCGGACAAGTCACGGATGACCAAAGGGTGTTAATGTGACTATAATGATAATTAAAATAAAATAAACTTCTTCGTTCGGTTAAGCCAGAATGCGTTCGAATTGGTGGCGTCTCCAGAGGGCGAAAGGGGCAGATGTGGATGCAAATGAGTAAAATCTTTTGTCTAATGGAACTGGCTTACCGGTGATGGTGTTGAAGCGTTACTGACTGCCACGGATCGTGGCTCAAAGTAAACATATAGACGGGGGGATCTAGATCATCGCCGTTTGCTGCTGCTCTCAGCTTAGAATCTTAATGCTTTTGTTGTTTGCATTTGATATGGGTATCGGGGCTCGAGCCAAGGGAAGGGATTATGAATAATAAGTATTTTTTTCTGGAATGGAATGCAGGGCTGGATAAAACTTCGACCATTTTTGGAAATAATCACGATGCGATAATCCAAAAGCTAACAGCTGATCACCGTTGGACATTGTCGTAATCACACTCGGTGATAGGAACTAGGTAACTACCTGTCAAGGCAGCCGTCGTCAATGAACGAACTACTTCGCCTGGTGCCACACCGGTTTTTGATCGGCTTATCGTATGAGCGCGAAAATTCTAATTGCCGATTGATATATACATTTCATTATCACCGTGCGGTGCATATCAGAGCCCTGCATGCGTAAGCGATTTGCCCGGCCAGGTCGGGTGTCTATCTCGATCCGGGGTTGACCTGGGTGGGCGGCTGCAACGGTGCAGGAAAGCGTAGGCAAATGCACCACTATCTGTCTATTGATGACGGGTTAGAAACGGCGTTTTCTGTGAACAGCAGCTCAATCTCGGATAAGGAAAAGAAATGGGCCAGGTTCTGGTTCTAGTTAGGTTCCTTCCTTGATTTGCGTATAAAAAGGCAGCTCTGGAAGGCTGCTGGTGTCACAGTTAGTTGGTGTGTTCAGTAGTTTGCAAGGAAGCCGATTAGTTCCACAAGAAGAATCCAAAATGAAAGTGAGTGATAAGGTGGTGATAGAAGACAGTGTATTTGGGTTGTGGACTCTAGGACATTTTTGCAGTATTGGCATTGTAGATACTTAGTTGATCTACACCAAGCATGTTTGAATCTCAGTTGTGAAATTTTGTTCATAAGTTATTGCCTCCTGATCGGGTTCCCGGGTACTTAAATTTGTATGGATCAACCTGACATAAGAGGTAAAATATCGAAGAATAATACCAAAAAAGTGTTCCTACAATATATTTTCAATACGAAATTAAGCACATGCAAAACCAAAACGAAACCACAAAGGTTTTCTTCTGGTATCCATGTATCAATTTTTGTTATTTAGAAAGTATTTAGCATGCAGTTTTTTGGTATTATACTTTAGTATTTCAGGCGTGATTTGAGATTAAGGCGTAATTACATTTGTAAAAAAAACACGTTAATCGTCGATTTCTCGTGAATAAAACCTCAATATCGAAAGCTAATAGCACCAACAGGTAGATAATTGATTGCTCTGTCATTTGGTATAGAATGTTCACGAGTTTGAGCTTTAATTCGTAAGAAATCGGTGGTTGACGCGTTTGTTTACAAAAGCAGTTCCGCCCAAATCTCAAATCACTCCGGATTTTATCGCTTATATCAGGCTGATCAACACTAAATGTTGGTATCAAGAACAGAATGAGGTATTCATCAGTTATTGTCTCCTGTTCGGATATCGAAGCTTATACTTCATGATTGCAGAAGCTCGCAACAATAAACCAGACTAATGTAGCACGAGTATTGTAGCTGTACAAGTTTTGCAAGCTCATTACTTAAAGCTGTGAATAATGGCGTCAGCCACGTCCTTGCGATCATTGAAAAAGATAAGAAATGTTAATTCGATCACCGTTGTTACAAGAGACCGAGTTAACCTCTGCAAATGCATGGTCTTCATGGAAGGGATATTTTTTAGTATGAGAGATTCATACGATCTGTATTCACCATGGTAAGCGGTGTGATCATCTTTTTGCCTCGTGACACTAACAACTCTACTATACGAAGAAGCCTGCAATTTAATCCACGATCTTCTGCTCAGCAAACAAAAACAGTAGCCACTAGGGCACTCAGCCCCGTATTTCTCCAATATGATGGTGAATAATATTAATCCCACGATCCTCCACTCAGCAGGCAAAAACGATCGCCACTAGACCACCGAGCGAAACACGAATACAGCCATTTCATAGCAAAACGATATAGTGGTTCTCAGAATTTCGTAAAAATTGTTCTTTATCGCAATATATAAGATCAGTTTTTGTTTTATTCAGTTATTAGGGTGACCATTTCCATGTTAGGGTAGTCCAAGAAATCATTATTTTTTCAGAAATAACCTTTTTTCGAGAATTCATAACTTTTGAAGCACTGGACAGATTTTAAAGATCAAAGTATCAGATGAAAGGTTATTAAATTAATAATTAGGAAAAATATATTGATATTAAAAAATTGAGATTTTGAATTGAACAACATTTATTGTATTTGTTTTTTATGGTTTACATCATTGGCGTAGCTAGAAAATTTATCTGGAGGGGTTTGCAAAACTACGGTTTATTAAAAACTCACTCAAATTGCGACAAGGCAACTTATTTTTGGGAACACTTTTTTTCTATGACCAATAATATGACATTAGGCTTACTATTATTTTAATGGTGAAACAATAAATTTGTTTATATTTATTCCATTAAAACGATTGGGACCTCGATTAGGAGAGCCTTAAACGCTTACTGATTTTGAACAAGCAATGATCGTTTGTTCATGTTTTTGTAATAAAATCACAGTCCGGATCTTGTAAATTTAAGCATCTCAAACTTGAGAAAATTCTCAAGGTTAGACAATTTCATGAATTTTGTAACTAGCTTTATTTTTTGATTTTGAATACATCACCATCAGTCAAATCTCAGGCATAGGAACCAAAATTAAATTTTAGGAGTTTGAATTTTATAATTTTATAAAATTCTGGCTGTTTTAAGGTAAAGTGCACACAGAATACATTTAATACATTTAGGATGTAGGAAAATGTTCAAGATGCACAATTTTTTGACCTTGGACTACGTCGGTGATTTCTGTATGGGGGTACACTTTGTGAAAACTGAAAATGGAACATGTAACGAAATTATGAAAGATTTTGAACGATAATTATTCAGTTGCCCCTGGACCAATTTAAATAATTTTATCACCAATCGATCAGAAATATTTCTACGCATCGATAATCATGCTATTGATTTTCAACAATACATTCTTGAGAAAATGGGAAATGTCAAGCATTGTCCAAAAGCGTCGAAATAACTAACAAATCCACTTATTACGTACATGCCTATTCTGCAGATGCACAATTCCTAACATTATTAATGTTAAAATAAAAATATTTTTGTGATCCCAAACCCATATGTTTTCAAGATTTTATAACTAATAAAAAAGGATATCTCTGATACAGATTGTAAGCTTAAATTCTTCAAATACAAATGTAAATAAAAGTCAACGAATTTAGATCAAATATAAGACTAAGATAAAATTGCAACTATCCTTCCTGGACAGTCATTTCATCAAAATACTAGAACATTAATATTAAAAAAAAATATATAAGAATTTTAATACTTATAGTATGTTTGAACTAATCAAAATTTTTAAAAACTCCATAAAATAAATGGGCCTGATAAAAAAAAGGTCGACAAAATTTTGTTCAAAATAAATTTAATGGATTTAAATTTTTTTTTTTGATATCATAGGCTTAGACATGTTTTGAATCTTCTGGTCTTCAAAATTCATAATTCAAGATCTTAGGAAACATACCTAGATTTTGAGACTCACAGCATTTCTCGAGAGAAAAATTGTTCAAGATAAGAAAAAATTAGGAATCACAAATTTCGAAAAATCTTGACGTGTGGCAAAAATTGTGAATAATCAGGTTATAATAATATAATATCATCAGGTTTTGAGATACCGGATTTTGAATGTCATGATTCTGATATTTGAAGTGAAAAAAAGCAATAAAACGTTTTTCCAGAACAATTTTTTTTATTTTAGAAATAACTAACAAAATCAAGATTTAACTATATTTCCAATCGAAAGGAATGAACTCGAATCCTGTTTATAACTAGATAGTAATTTTAGTTATTTTTACAAAAGTTGGGTTCTTTTAAATATTTTAAATTTAGTTAGTTGTGTTTAAACCCATTTGGTATCAATTTATTATTTAAACGTACATTATACAGAAAAGAGCTTTTTCTGGTATTTTGTTTAATCAAAAAATACATCCAGGAAGCATGGAATTTTTTATGTGCTGATCCATGCACACTATCCTGCAGCTGAATTCCGGGCATACAATTCATCGAAAAGAAAGAAATTTATACATACTAGGTACATGCAGAAATTGAAATTTATGCCCGGAATTTAGCTCTGGAGTGCAAATTTGTGACGATATAGCTAAAACACCAAGGCACGGGTCCTCTTTATAGAGAATGTACAAATATGGCCATGAAATCAAGATTCATCATTCAAGATTCCTGGAAAACTTTTGAATACTTCCCGATCAACCTACAACCTACCAAATATCCAGTGAACTTTACTAATATCTTGGACTATATGGAGACCTTTCGAATATTTCCAGATGTCTAGGAAGAATGTTTGAAAGAATATCCTGTAACTAATGCAACGTTCTCTGAACATCTACAAAACTTAAGTTTTACAAAATTTCCTTAAATTTCCGAAGTTCCCTGAATTTATTGCAAATCCCATTTTTTTTTTTTTTTTTCATTTCTTTAAACTCTACAAAGATCTTTGAACATCTTTGCACTTTTGGAAAGACACCTAAGAAACCTACAAATATTCTTGAACACCTAGAAAGTTCCTTGAAATTAACTTCGCCCCAAAACCTCTAAGAAGTTCATGGAGCTTTTTTGGAGTAAGATCTCTGAAAAACTGCAACGAAGTTTCCTAAAATGAAGCGAAGATCCCTGAAGTTCTTAGAAGTTTATTGAACTATTTTTAGATCTTTAACAAAATCCCTTGAACTTTTTCAAAATTCCTTATACTTATATGAAGTTTTACGCAGCTCTTTAAAATGCTACGAAATTCGAAAATCTTCTACAAAGTTAGCTGTTGAATTTTCTCAACTATTCCAAGTCCATGAGGCTAAAAAAAAACTGAAATTATGTAGAGGGTCCCGAGCAATAATGAGCTTCCCTAAAATAAAATAATGTTCCTTTAACTTCTACGGAGCTCTTCAAATTCAAATGAATTCTCTACTTCAACGCAGTTTTCAGAACTTTTCCAAGTTCCTTTTTTTCTACGAATTTTTCTGAAGCTTTATTAATTTCCCAGAATTTCCACCAAGTTTACTTAATTTCAACGATCTTCCCGATTCTTTCGATAGAAGTTCACATTTGAAGTTTTACGAAGTTTTCACAAGTTAAAGAAAAAATCCTGGGCACATGGCCAATTTGTAGAGCCTGAAGACGTATTACCATAGAGGTAACTCTAAGACTAGAAGGTCCCGAAGAAACGTGCTCATCTTTTTGGCTCAGCTCTGGTACTATCTTCGGTCCCAAGCTAATCGATTCACCCCTCGAAACATAGGAAAAACCAATAACCTCTCATTTTATCTGTCAAACTTTCATAGCGAATCAAAACAAACATTGTGTAGTACTAGAATTTCAACTAGAATGGGATACGTTAATCGTTTGCTTGGGACCAATAGGCTAGTCAAGTAGTGAGCCAATTTAAAATCGTTAGTTTCGTATTGATTGTTGGTATTACTGCCATCGATTTGATATAATCTAATTTCTCAAACTTGTTTCTTCTAGTCCAGAACATAACAAAAGTAATCGACATAAAGGACTTTGAAAAATCTTTGTTCGTGGTCCAATTTTATTAATCATGTCAAATAGTAGCATTGAACTTAATAAGCTTGACAAAATACCGGAGAGTCAAAAACAAACACCAAAAATTCTGGAGGAGGCCTGGCCCCCCTGGCGCTCCCATTAGTTACGCCAATGGTTTACATGTTTTTTCGATAGAGGCCACAATATGTTTTTATATTTTTTTCTCAAAAACTAATGCTTTTTTACACAATGTATTGCAAAATCAGCGATGTGTTTTTTTTTCGTTATTGAGTTATTATATTTCTTTGAAGTTATCAAGTTTTGGATTTTCACTCAATACTCCTATGCGACTAGCCTACCATGAGTCTCCATCGTTTTATAGCAATTGTAACATGGTCACGACGCATGGTAGTCTAGTCGCATAGGAGTAGTGAGCGAAACCCCTAAACCTGATAACTTAAAAAAAAATATAACTCAAAAACGGAAAAAAATACACTGATTTTGTGATAGGGAAATTTACGTATTCTCGGCAACCTAAGCAGCGACCATCTTTCTATAGCCTTTTCTCCAAGGAACGCACACATTTGCAGTATTGGTTTGTTTACAATATTTTTTTGCCAGCTGCTCTAACAATTTCAGTCGAAAGAATTGTCAAAAATTGTTTTGAAACGCTTTTACAAAGCACCAATCTTCTCTGGTGAGAGTGACTATTGTGGGCAACATCTTTTTATTCGGCAACCGTTCTATTTGAGCTGCGTGTTAACCAGCTTTGCTTTCATCAGCAACTTGAAATCAGCAGCATTTTATAGTGCGTGTGTTTCATTTCAAGAAAACCCTGCAAGATTGCTTTTTCTCAGTGGTAAAAATATAATCAAATTGAAGCCTAAAGAATCGTTTTAATGGATTCGACGAAGTGTTTTCGTAAGAAAATCCAATGATACTAGCGTTTCAATTTGGGCTGCTGAAAGAAGTCTGTCATGCCGAAGCCGTTATTTCCCCTATAATGTGTATAAAAGCCTTAATTTTCAAGGAAACATATATAAGATATTGCGGCCTCTATCTACAAACCATGAAAACTATAAATATAAATACAATCAATATTTTACAACACAAAATCTCATTTTTTTTTAGCATTATGATATTTTTTCTAATAAGTAATTTTAATTGTATTTTGATCTTTGAAATCAGCTCTATGGTTCAAAAGTTATGAATTTTTGAAAAAAATCGATTTTTTCAACCATCTTAACATGGAAATGGTCACTCTAATGACAAAATAAAATAAAAATTCGGGTCTTATATTTTGCGCTAAGGAACAAAACTACCAAATTTTACGAAATTCTGAGAACCACTATATCGTTTTGCTATGGAATGGCTGAATATAGAAATCATCGCTCTCAATGAAAGCGTGCTGATGATGAACATTTTACTCAGCTTAGATGTATACTAAAAGCACCGACGAATCGACATGCAACTGGAGCATTTCGATTGTCCGCAATTCGATTAGTCAAATGAGTGATTCGGTCTATCAAACCTGGGACGGGACGTGACAATCGAGTAGCGATTTCGAGCCAATTTGCTGTCAAATCTGAGCCAGTTTCTGATTGGTCGATTTGACAGTAGCAATCGTGGAATAAAAAGGACAGAGGGATCGCATCAATTTGGCTGGCAGCAGGGTTGCTTCCACTCACTTGCTATAAAAACATATTTTTCGGAATTATGCAATCATTAGATGATATAAAGATATGCTGTACTTGTAAGTAACAAGAAGAGGGTTAAAAGTATGTGTTTGACTCATAAAACCTGTCAATTTTGCTTTCAGAGCGTCACAATAAGCGATCTTATGATTCGTGAGCGTTCACTCAGAGTGAGCACTCACGAGTCGTAAAATTGCTGATTGTGACGCACTGAAAGCAATATTGACAGATTTTATGTGTCAAACACATTCTCCACGTCCTCATGTTGTAACTTACAAGTACTAATTATCACTATACCATCTCATGATTTCATAATTCTGAAAAAACATTTTTTTATAGCAAGTGAGTGGAAGTAACCCTGGCTGGCAGTGATGCCGGAATCAATAAGGCTGTTAATTGTTTATATTTTCGAAAGTAAAGTTGAAAAATTGAGTGCACTGTGGCTGTTTTTATTGTGTTGAGCAAAAATGATGTACAAGCTGCTAAACTGCGGGATTAAAATAGAAAAAAAACATTTTACATTCTTGGCATCATTGCTCGGAAAAAAATCCGTTCCCGAAAACGGGAACGGACCGTGAACTAAAAATCACGGCCAACTATCCAAAAAAAAATTTTCTCAAATATACACCGTGAACTATGGTTCACGGCTGTGGTTCACGAATATGGGAACTCTTTTTTTCCCGTGTGGTCAACTCGTCAAAAACCATGCACAACTTTCCGAAGGGCATTCTTCAAAAACATTAAGAAGAGTGAGAAGATCGATTGCCAATTCCCGTCCCGGTATCAAACTGTCGATCAGATCTGTCAAATGAGGTGAGACGCAAACCAAGTCAATATAAATTTTATCGTGTGTTCGTGTCCTTGCTTACGGGGTGACACGATCGGATGAGTAGATGGCGAGAGTCGGATCGTTGGTGCTGATTGAATCCTCTCTCGAAAAGTTTTTCCTGAAAAAATCGATGTCAATTTTACTTAGTCTATGAGTGACCTTTGCGAATTTGAGTAAACGGAACTCAAATATGAGTCAATCAAAAATTCAGAGGTACCAGGCGGGTCTTGTCCAGAAGAACAATTTTGATAATGATAGGACTTTTCTATCTGACCATGCTCCTGAGTTATTGTCAAAAGATACGAGATGGATGCATTGAATTGAATTTTCTTTATTTTAAAAATTTTGGCTGAATGTGGCTTAGTGGTCCCAAATTGAAGCTCACCGAATTTTAATTATACACCATCTTTGTTATAATCTGAAATTTCCAGCGTACAGTATCCCTCCGTTCATCCGACACTTGACTCAGTAATCCAGTGCTCGTTATTTCATAAAATTGTGGGATGGAAAAGTATAACCAAACATTTGAACACACAGTGCTGTCAATTTTTAGATTTGTGCTGTGATCATGTTGTCTTTTTGTTTTGATTTTTTGCTATAGATTTGACACTCGGATTAGCAAGTCAAAATCCGATAATCCGGACATGATTTTGATGGATTAGTGAAAGGACTCTTTAGATGGCGCTAAAAGCAATCCTCTGTCAAGAAGGAGGGTTGTTGAAGATGCCACCATGGGTGGTGTCAGCACTGTAGCCTACAGGTTTTATGTTATGTTTATACGTGCTTTAAGGACACGTTTTTGTTAAAAAATGATACATGAATTATCATTCATAAAATGTGAACTTTTCATGATAACCATTCCGAATTCAAAAAATAATGCAGTAATCATATGGTTCCTAAATGTAAGCATGTGTTGCACATAAACTTATTATTATCTTGTAGCGCAGCAAATCGAACATTTATGTGAACGGAGCTTAATTTATTGCTCAATGCTTGCATCAGCTGTCTTAGATTGAAAGATAAACGAGCCCATCAAACCAAAGAGCCAAAAACTTTGGCTTCAAGCAAAATGTTGGTGGATGACGTTTCTGCCACCGGAGTGGCTAAAAGCTGAGGTTCGCTGTTCACTTTGTAGAGTAGTATTCAGTGGGTTTATGAGCGGAAAGCCTTAAATGAGAATTCAGTAATCTGCTAATCATTTTCATGATAATTTTCAACTGTTCTCACTCTGAGTCTGGATGAAATTTTAGCTCAATCATCTGGAGCAGTGTACGCTGATTTTGTTCTCAATCAGTGTTCGAAAAATCAGTATGAAATATAATTTTTTGAACGCTCCTGATCGGATAAACTCGCGTGCTAATTTGCAAAACATATCTCGACATGTTGTAATTTTGTATAGTTGAAACTAATAGATCTGAACAAAAAACAATTTTTCACTCAAATCACTTCCCAACTTACCCTTCCAACGCAAGCACCGCAACTAACGAACGCATTTGCCTCCCGCAGGTCGCCGCCCTATTTGTAGTGCTCGCTCTGGCTCTGACGGCCGAGGCTCAACCAGCTTGGCCGTGGGCCCCATGGCATGCTGCATGGCCCGGAGCTTGGCCAGCAGCTGCTTGGCCGGCCGCCACCTATCCTTGGGGATGGCCAGCAGCTGTCCCGGCTCCCGCTCCAGTAGTAGCCATTGATGCTCCAGCCGTTCCGGAACCTGCCGCCACCTCGGTCACCGCCACCCGTGGAGCAGTGCACGTTGCCCCGCTGCCCGGACATGCCATCAACCAGCAGCAACTGAATCTGGCTCCAGCACCAGGAACTGCCTAGAACTGTCGACCCCCAAAACCCAAACCCCCATAAAAGCTGCCGTGTTTTCGTTTCACGATATACTGCAGAAGTCAATCTCTGTTACCGATGCCGATTTCTTTTCATACCCACTCTTTTCCTTTTAAAAGCAATCAGCGCGCGTGGATCTACGAATAAAATCGTTTTTTATTTCTCTAAAAAAAAATAACAATCGAGCTACTCATTCACAAGACGGAAAACAATTGAGAAAATCAGTCCCTTTTCCCCTCGGCTCACCGAGGATTCATGGCCAAGTACTTCTCCAACATCGACGGAGCAACGTACCGGTCCGTGGAATAGCCACGCCCCTTGACGTACACATTCGGAGTGAGCCAGGATCCCGGTTCCACGGGGATGTAGTTGATCAGAGAATTGGGCTGTGCTTCGTAGTTCATGTACTGTGGCTTTGGAGGTTGGAAAAGGTCCCAAAACGTCGGACTCTGCTCGTAGGACGACTCAAACGGGTGACTCTGATACAATCCCGTTTCCAGCGGATAGTAGGGATCACCGAAGAGGTAGTCGTCCTGCTGATCGAAGGCTGCGATAAACGGTTCCACCGCGTATGAGGTGTAGTAATGACCTTCAACCGCTACTGCTAGTGCTGCTACCGCGAAGATGATCCACACTGATGATGTCTATGAATATCAAATTCATGTAAATCATACACTCAGTTACGCTACACAGTGAGAGAAACCCTTACTTTCATGATGTTACAATTGTTTCTTCTGAACCGAAGCACAAGCACCAAACTTGACGCGGGTGCGACCTGTTGAACTCTGATGGCTTGCAACGGTCAGTGAATACTTTTTATTTGTTCAACCGCAATTTGAGTAGATACGAAGGTCGTAAATCGGCTGGTGTTGGCCAGCCGAAGGTTGGAAACAAACAAGGTGGGCTTCTTTTCGTCCACCGTTGCGGGGCGGATGTTATTCATTGGTTCAACACCGTTGGTTCCGTTTTATGATTTTATGTTTGTTTTATGACAACGGAAATTGGGGCATCTATTTTCGTTCGAGAACGCACTGAAGGATGGTTGAAATCGTCTGAAATGCTGATAATTGAAGCTTAATGGATGGACTTTGCTCATGTTTTGATAAGCTTGAGATAAGGTTTTGTAAGATCGCATTAACAACGTAAAACTTCTTGAAGGTTTTGGTGTTACATAGTTTGGAGTTTCATGCAAAGTGCACTGACCCCACAATTATCGATCAGCAAAAAAAAAAATATTATAGACCAGTCAGACTAGCGTGTTTATCATATGGAAGTTATGCATAATTGTGGGTGATCCATAATTGTGGGGTCAGTGTATGTGATTTTTTTATAATGATAGGACGATCCATTAAGTTCATCACGTCAATTGGCAAGTGGAGGGGTCTGAGAAATTTGTGACAAGCAATGCACAAGGTATAGGAAAACGTGACAAAAGAGGAGAGTAGGTGTTAATTTTTGCAAAATTTTGCGTGATAACGCATGTTCCCTTAGAATTCAAACAACAACAATTGTCTATGTCTTATTGACCATGTTGTCGATTCTTGAATCGTTGAATATTGTTGATGTGTTCAGGACAGATCGTAGCTCTTTGAGCAGTCGAAAAACTCGTGGTGAAGGTGTATTGATAGCCGTCTCTTCTAAATTGTGTTGCTGTATTGATCCAGCTCCGATAAGTAATGCTTTCGAGCCGCTTTGGATCAAAATCAAACTGCAGAACTATGATGTCAGCATTGGAGTGCTTTATCTACCACCTGATTGTATAGACGACCTGTCGCTCATACAGCAGCATACTGACTCCATTGATTCAATCCTTTCCGGCTTGAGGCCTCATGCTTTCCAGTTTGGAGACTATAATCATCCTGAAATGCACTGGGTACCATTAGAAGATGGTGGCCTCACAATAGATTCCCATACATCGAGATTAACGAATGCTAGTTGTGCATTATACAATGCCTTCTGTGAAGAACTCCAGTTCACGGATTCTCGATTTAGTACTCGTAAATGACTCATCGTTATCAAGCTGTTGCGTATCCGAAGCGGCTGTATCGCTCGTATAAATCGATACTTCACATCCTGCTATTGACGTCACCGTTTCTATTTCGGTACCAGTGTCATTTGAACCATCTCTAGACGACTGCCGGTTCGATTTTCGTCGGGAAATTTTTGGATTCTGATCAGGATCTGGACGATATTGTATGTATTTTCAACACGGAGATACGTCAAGTCATCGAAGCTCACGTGCCTCTTCAGCGCCCTCCACTGAAGCCTCCTTGGACGACCAGGAGCCTCCGCCAGTTGAAGCGCCGTAGGCGATCTGCACTTCGAACGTATAGTCGGAGTCGTTCGCAGCACGCCAAACATCGCTTTGTAATGGCCAGTAACAAGTATACACGGTGTAACCGTCTATTGTATGCTCGATACGTTGATTGTACGCAGAGAAATTTACGTCTACATCCCAAACAGTTCTGGTCTTTTGTTCGTACTAAACGCAAGGAAGATGGATTGCCTACGTCCATGCATTTCGGCGACCGATTTGCTAGCACAGCCTCTAGTAAATGTGAGATCTTTGCTGAACACTTCAAGAATGTCTTCTCAAATACGCCTGCTACGCCACCGCAGATAGAGGCTGCTGTTCGTGATACGCCGCTAGACAGCATCGACTTTGGAATTTTCCAGATCAGCGAGGAGCATGTCGAAAATGCATTACGTAAGCTCAAACATTCCGTGTCACCCGGTCCTAATGGGATTCCTTCATCTGTGTTGAAAAACTGCTCGAGTTCTCTGATGACACCATTAGTAAAACTGTTCAATCTCTCGTTCCAACAGCAAAAAATTTCTGCTGGATGGAAAACTTCGTCTCTGTCACCGATTCACAAAAAGGGTGACAAATGTAACGTCGTCAACTACCGTGGAATAACGTCCTTGAGCGCTTGCCCTAAGGTTTTTGAAATAATTGTAAACAACGCTCTCTTTGAAGCCACCAAAACCTACATTTCATGTGCCCAGCATGGATTCTACCCGAAACGATCTGTTACTACTAACCTCACTCAGTTCACCTCACTCAGTTCACCTCACTCTGTGGACGCCGTATACACGGACTTCAAGGCTGCATTCGATCGTGTGAATCATGATATCCTGTTGCAAAAACTTTAGAAGTTGGGGGTATATTTGTGGGCCTTTGTGTTGCACGTGGACAGCGAATATTCTATGCCGACTTTACTATCTATTATACACTATTTATCTAGGAATGATAATGCGTTCAAGTATGTAGCTCATAAGTGGTTAAGTTTCTCTCTCTGTTTATCCTTAAGGAAATATATGATTTCAAACTAAAACGTTACAAATGTTCGTCATTCTTAGTTTGTAAACCACTTCAGATCCGAGTAGAAGAAATGCAATAAATTTACAAAATATCCGAGAAATCCCAGATCTGAGAGGGCATAGTATATAAGGTCTAAAAATACAAATTTACCTTTCCAAGGGCGAGTGGACTCCTAGCTAATAGAATAGGCATGGTATTGAAAGGGATATTTAGAGTATTAAATAATTATAAGTTGCTAATGCAACACGTAGCCGAAAGAGCACTTTGTACCATTGTTTGAAATAGAATTAAGTTTAAAGCTAACTAGTTTAGGTTCTTTCTTCTCTGCATCCGAAAAGACTCTCGATATCTAGAAGTGAACAATTTTTTCCTTGACCGGAGGAAAAAGTAGCTCCTAGCCGTGTTTTGGAAATGCGTTTCAAAAAGCGACAGTCTCTTTAAACCAAGCGAAAAAAAAGTAGCTTTTTGCCAGCGAGCGGATCATTAGGATAAATGAGTCATTACAATAACAGTAGATTCTTTTCTGGATCTTAAAATTGTTCCTGCGTTCGGTCTTCAAAATGTGACTATGTTTTAACGACAGACAAACAGGCATGACACTTGCATGTTGTTTATCGAACACTCATTTAACGGTAAAATTATGTTTTTTTTAGTTGGTAGTACTGCCACCTGTAGCGCGCATATTCCATTTCCTCACGGACGATGAGATCAATTCAAAATTGAGTGGCTTTCACTTAAAATCGCAAAACATGTAGGTTACTCGCCGACTCGCTTTTCCTAAAAAATCTGCTCGAATATGAGGAAAATCGACAACAATTTTACTCACTCTAGGAGTATACCTCTCTAGGGTTTCCTCATTTTTGAAAAGTATTTCCTGAAAAGAGGAAAGTACTACCAACAATCAATACGAAACTAACGATTTTAAATTGGCTCACCACTTTAGTAGCCTATTGGTCCCAAGCAAACGATTAACGTACCCTATTCTAGTCGAAATTCTAGTACTACGCAATGTTTGTTTTGATTCGCTATGAAAGTTTGACAGATAAAATGAGGGGTTATTGGTTTTTCCTATGTTTCGATGGGTGAATCGATTAGCTTGGGACCGAAGAGAGTACCAGAGCTGAGCCAAAAAGTTGAGCTCGTTTCTTCGGGACCTTCTGGTCTTAGAGTTACCTCTATGGTTCTACTCAGTCTATGAGTAACCTTCGTTTCTGCGAATTTGAGAGAACGAAACTCAAATTTGAGTTGGTTTAATCGGCCGTGCATGCGTTTGACTTTACACACTGACACTACCCACATTTGTTGAGCATACTTCCCATGACAGTGAACTCTGTAACAAGTACGCTTTTGCATTTATTTATTTAATTATTTATTTGCGCAGAATTCCTATTTATACAATTTTCCACATTTAATTATATTGCATTAACTTTCGTTTTTCAAATAAATCCATAAATTTGTTCACCGCCAAGGAACGAACATCCACTTACGTAGAGTTACACTTGTCATACAAAAAAAAGTAATGAGTTCCCTACGTTCAGATTGAAGCGCAAATTCAAATATTATAAAGCCTGTCGAGCTTGCCGACGCTACGAAGTTACAGCGTCGTAAGGTGGACATCGACCCGTCAGATTTCCATTGAAAATGCAATGACCTTTTCCCGTTCGGCTTTGCGCACTCCTACCGAATTTCGGGGAGAGAGATGACTGGACTCTGAATAGTCCGTTGGAAGATATGCTGTAAGGCACTAATAATCGGGTGCACAATTGCGAGAGTTTGGTGGTCGTGAAATTGGGTGTCGTCCAAGTTCGCGACTTCCCGGGCAAAGGTCACAATCTAGCGGCTATCTGGGGAATTCCTCAGCTTTGATCGTCCACTTCGAATCGATCTGTGGAAGAGGCAAGAGTGGTCGGTGTTTTGTCTCGTGTCGTGGTGTGATTAAAAAGTGTTAGCTTAGTGTAAAACCCTAGCAAGCTAGTTAGTAGGCGGCAAAGTGTGTGTCTCGAAGAAAGTACAAGGTTCGTGGCAGCGGAGGCCATTTGCCGTCACACCACCCTATTGTCAGAGACCGCTTTTGACCCCACCTATCGGTTTCGGAGGATTCCCGGAGCACACGTGGCCGGAAGAGGGTCGCTATCGCCAATTTGCGCGCCCTGGACAGGCAGGCCAATACTCGTCCCATCTGTAGTCATCGAACAACAGAACAGCATACGTTGCACGTGTTCCAGTGTTCGGACGATCGAACGCATGTGCCGCGTTCAAGCGTAAGCCCGCGTTTCCGGTGAGTGAGACATTTCCAGCATAAGTCGATCGCATCCGCGATAGTCTCTGGGCCGAAGTAGTGCAATACGCAGCTTCGGTACCGCCGCCGTCTCCTCACCCATAGCACCGATGTAATTCCTAGGTTTTCGAGTGAATACATGCATGTATATTTTTCGTTGTGAAAGTCCATGCGCATGAGACAAACGAAAGCTTCGCGAAACATAACCGTCTCATAGA